TGTTTTGTAACTAATATTTAAAAAAAAATCGAATATGAATCGTCTCTTTTGTAGTGTTGTTAACAGAAAACTCGCCCACAGTAAAGTTCATGTTAGATTGTGCGTTGTGTTGTTAGCTCATTTTTTGTACCACTTCTGTATAGGTTAAGGTACAAGCAACCGTATGTACAAGAAACTTAAAACTTTGTCAAATATTTAAAAAATATAATATTTTATGAACGAGAACCAGTTTTTTAATGTTACTTTAACCCAGAAATTGGTTTGACGGTCCAGGCAGTACTTTCCTTATCAATACATGCGACTAAAAGTACACAATTTTTAATATCAGTAGTTTTAGAGATTATCTGTCCAATACAAATTGACACAGATGACAGATAACAGACAGAATGCAGACAGACGAAAACCAGAGAGCTACTTTGTCGTACTCTAGGGGCATGAAACGTCGAGAAAACAAGAAAGGAGCCATCCATCGGCTGCACCTTTTTGCAATATAGTTGGATTCATGTATCTTTTTACCACGTGACCAAAAGCTAACGTCCGAACTAATAACTGTTACTTTGTAGTAATTAGTCAAAAAGATGACAATGTTCATAACGTCAACATGACACAATTGTGTAAGCTCAGGCAGGTCTTTTGGTTTCGGTGCTTTCCGATTGGGTCGTGATTTTGCCGGACTGGGAAGAACGCCGAGTCTTTCTTTTTGAGTTCGGCGAGTAACGCCTAGAGCATCTGCAACTCGCTAAAAATTTGAGCGAAATTATTAACCATGAACCTTCAAGTGGTTTTTACTTACTTACTCGTTCTGTACCATTTAATGAGATTAAAGGACCACCGTTTTCCTTCTCAAGAGCAAAATACTCTATAAAGTTGGGCACGATGTCCAGGGCACGGGAACTCAAACGTTTGCCCGTCATGTTGTAGACCAAACACGAACAAAAAATAAGATAACAAAACATAAAAAATAGGACAACAAAACAAGAATCCTAACAACCAACGAACTTTACGAAGAACTGAATAGAAAACTTGAATAGAACAACGAAAAACTGCGATTAATCACTCTGAGTAAAACCAAAAATGACAGTGGCGTTTGATGAAAAATCGATGTATCAGTCACTAGATTGACTACATCAGTTCCTGTCGCACTATGTGGACGCATTTATTACGTATTTTATCTTTTTCTAATTCAAGGAACTTTGTGGAAGAGAATAACTGACGTAGAGCGTAATTTGGCCTAATTTCGGTAGACATACTATTTGTCTGGCTCTTCGTTTCTATAATCCTTAAAACAAAGATTCTTATGGTAGGTTCTGTCTGAGCTTGTATGATACTTCGGTCACGTGTGTCAAAAGATACATGAATCCAACTATACTACCTTAACTTACGCACGCTCGGCAAGTTAAACTATCTCAAGTCATCAACAAATCCCGAAATTTACTGAGAAATAATTTTACATTTAAGTAAATGTTATGTTTGTGTAAATTGTTAACTTTAACATATTGTATCTTTGCATTTCCGTATAAGATCACGATTTGCCAAAGTCGGACTTTAAAAGTAATAATTAAAGACAATTTTTTTTAAATCTATAATACCATGATAAATAATAGTATTACGTAATTGTTTTGTAGACTTTAACAACTATCCTTGAACAGCACACAAGTATCCTAAAATTAATTTTTAAACATGATAAATCGTTAAGACTTTGGCTCATCTTGTTTGATCGTGATCACAGATTAAATCGAATTATCAGGAAATTTTATTTAAAACACTTACTAAATAATGCACAAGTTTTGGTATGTTGAAAAACTACACGAAACCGAAACCACCTAATCTTAAGTAGTGTCTTAAATAGCCTCTAACATTTGATAAAAATAACACCTGACACTTATGGAACAATTGCTGACGTCACTGGAAATTACAAAAAGTTCTTAAAACTCGTAGTCACTACAACATAGATGTCACATAAATAAATTGACCTATGTCAAAATGTTTGGCAGGAATTGGATTATATCACTGCATTCGGAATCAGTCCACTGAAATTTCGAAAAAATGCTCTAGACTTTACTATAGATTTACAAAATATTAAAAAGTCATGTAATTCGTTGTAATTTATTTGTTTGTTATTGATTAAGTTTAGTTTTGTCATTATGGTGACCAAGATTGTTAAAAGAAAAAACCAATTTTTCTAAGGTAGCCGCCATTGTGGTCATTTCCGCTTGATAAAACTAATATGACTAAGTTTTACAAAAAATTATTATTACAAATGTCCCGAACGTGAGAGTGGAATCCTCCTTTACGTGACTTTAAAGATGTATTTATCTTATCAAAAAATAATCCTTTAGTACGGTCTATAAATATAAGCGAACGTTTTTAGTTGATATCAGTTTAGTAAAAAATTTTCTAGCTACAGCTTACTAGTGATTTCAACCCTAGAAATGGAGGACATCGAGGTACTCGTAAGTGTTTCTTTTCGTACATCGTCCACATATATTTTATTTTTATTTTATTCTTTTATTCGTACAACAAAAATTTGGCTAGTTAAAATAGAAGTAAGTGTTAAACTGTGATGATAAAAGTTTAGATCAATTAACATTCTAATTGTTCAGGTTTTTCTTTTCTTTTATGAAAACTTTTCTCGTGAAAGTTACCTTAAAGAATTTCTCGAGTGCTTTCTTGACATTAAAAATGGATAACATTTTTACTAACGGTAAGTTTAGGTATCTTTTGCCAAATTATTCAAATTTTGATACAACTTTCCTTGATTCCGAGACGCTTTATTTGCATAAAATGTGTTTAAAAATTACTTAAATTTTACCTCTTTCCGTGGTCTGTTAAATTTGCAGATAAAATTTTTGATATAGCTCTCACAAATGGAGAATGTTTTTTATACCAAGTAGGTCGTTGAAATGTTCTTGACTAAATGCCACTTTATAAATAAACTTAGAAAAATAGCATATGAAGAATATTCATTTCTAATATCAATCCATAAAAATTATTATAAAAATTTAAACCAAGTTTGTTTTTTACTTCCCGAGGCTAAACAAAGGTAGTATTTGTGCTTTTGCTATCAAATCGCCAAATTCTTCTAATCTCTTATTCTAGTTCTTCCACTTCCATTCTTTCCCATTAATTGTTATGTTATAGTAGTCAACTTTAACTATATTTTCATAATTTTTTGCGTCTTTGCTATGTCCCTTATGGTCTTGTGGTGGCACAATAAAAGGTGAAAAATGCATCGTATTTTTGGTTAAGTCACAATTTGTATAACTTTTTTTCTCCTTAAAATATTGCCATTTTCCCTCGAATTTTATAGTTTCTTCAAAGTTGATCAATTCAATTGTACACAATCTTGTTATATTTTATTTTTGTGTGCTTGTATTTCCGTGTTTATATTCACATGAAATTTTATGGAGTCTGTTCTTGCATATTCCAATTCTTTATTCCTTTCCAGAATTTTAAAAAACGAAGCGGAACCACGGATAGGGGGAAGGAATATGAGGATGTGGTTCTCGCTTTTGTTCTCCTAGAACTAGTAAAAGACGTCGAAACAAAGAACTTTCATATTTCGTCAAATGAAGAAGGATTCGGAGCTTTTGATGACATAGTTATTAAAACTGAGTCGGATAAGAGAAACGAAATAAAAGCAGTTCAGCTAAAACACACCGAAAATAGAATATTATCCACAAAAAATTTGATCTCGAAAAAAGGAGATTTCGGCATTCTCAAATATTTCAAAAGTTTTCAAGAAATAAAGAAAGAGGTTGACGAATTTATACTATTTACTAACAGACCTTTCAAGTGTGACGACAATACAACAATTCAACTGGAAGAAGAAGAATTTTCTATTACTCCTGTTAAAGTAAAAGCTTTTTTAGAACTTGCAGAGATAGATTGTGCGTATCAGTTTAAGATAATAGAAGAAGATTGGAATGCAGAAATGCGTCTCAAGATTCTAGAATATCAAAGGTTTTTTAGTAAATTCTATCTGTACACCGATCAAAAAACAGTTGGAAGCCTGAAAAACAGTGTAGCTGAAAAATTCAAAACAACATATTGTTCGGATGAAGAAACATTCGAAAAATTCCTCAGAACACTATCTGAGTGGAATATCCAAGGAGGCAACAAACAAAAGCTAAACAAAAAGTGGATGGAACGTGTAATCGCTCTATTGCTTCTATCTTCCCATATTGAACCCCTATTTTCTGGCTCAATTAATGTCAACTCCGTTAACGATAAAGTGAAGATATTTCAAGAAGCCGTTTCCTTTTTCGACATTACGTTTCTTGAAAAAGAATCGTACGAAAAGCTTAAAGCAGTGTGGGATGACAGAAAAGGAAAAAAGTTTGACTTTATAGATTTAAATAAAATAAGAAAAAGGTACTTTCCAGCAGTCAGTTATATTGATAATACAAACATCGACAAAATAGATCCAAGGATATTTATTCAACTATTATGGTTAGCAGACAAGTGTCCATTAATAATACGTCAACATGAGAACGTCGAAAAGGCCATCCAGCTCTGTCCTGATAAAAAGTTCATCCTAATTGGCGAAGGCAAGAATGAGGAGTGGATGAAAATCTATTCCGTGTTCCAAAATCTATCAAACTTGAATCGGAAACCTGACTTACGCCAAAAATTCATGCAAAATTTTACCATATCGATCCAAGGGAAAGGAGAACTTAATCTTGCAACAGCTTTTGAAAATAGCGATAAATTCTTAGAAAGTGTCACAACGGACAACTTAGTGGAAATGCTAAACGGTCCGTGTTATATAGGAGGAGAAAAAGAGATTCTTCCTGAACCTTACATTGAGCGCAGTCTTTTCCGAAATATTATTAACATTAAATACCTAGAAAAATTTTGGGAACACACAATTATTGTTTTAAATTGCACCAATAATTTTGATAAGGTTAAAGACAAACTAAAGCAGTGTAAACTGATTGATATCAGTAACTTCTTACAGATAAAAAATCAGAGTTTGGAAATTGAAGCAAATGAACTTTATGCGTCTAAATCTAATTCAATTCAATATAAAAATAACTTTAATTCTGAAAAATCAAATTTTAGGAATACAGTTTATATAGGTAATAAAAATTTTAGTGATTTAGAACTAGAACAAATTTACAATGAAAATAGAGAAGCTAAACAAATTCACTATTTTAAACTTTCCAATGATTGCAATTTAGAATGGATTAAAAGCACAGGCGATGTTAGTGATTTAGAGGTTTATAAGTTACGCGAAAAATACTGTACGAACGAAAACGAACTATGGTCTTCTCGGTTAGATAATAACATAAATCTAATATGCGGCGATACAGGCATGGGGAAATCCGAATTAATGAAAAGCTGCAAAAATAAATGTTCACCGAAATATTGGACAATTCTAATCAGTCCTACCGATGTGCACTCATTTTTATACAATCGTAAGTTTTCTAAAACAACTAAATATACAGATTTATTTGAAAAATTTATCGTAAATGAAAAATGTCGGTTACTCAAAAGATTCGAACAAAGATTTTTTGAAATGTGTGTAGAGAAAAATAATGTTGTTTACGTGTGGGATGCGCTCGATGAAATTATGGGAGAAAATTTAGAAGCTGTGTCGAAAATAATCCTTGATTTCTCAGCAAGAGGTATCTTTCAGTGGGTTACTAGTAGAACACAATTAAAACCATTTCTAGAAAAAAAATTCAATGTGGTGGCACTTAGTATAAATCAGTTTGACGAACAAGAACAACAAAATTATATAAGAAAACGTTTAGCTTCTTTCATTTCTATAGACAAAATTGAGATCGCTATTGAAAAAATCAAATCGTCCTTCGCGATTATTGAACACGTTAATATCTTGGGGATTCCGCTTCAAATCTTCATGGTTACTGAATTGTTTCGTCAAAACAGTGACAAGTATTCGAAACTAATGAAAAATAAATTTCTCTTGACTGATTTATATGAATACTTCATTGATGAGAAATTTAATAATTTTTACAAAGATAAATTGGCCTTTGATTTTAAAAATCCTCACATGGTTAGTAGAATTCGCGAAGAAAAACAGGAGATTTTAGGTAATTACGAGAGAGTGGCACTTAAAGTAATATTTTCGGAAGAAATACTGAAACGATTAAATGTCGACTGTGAACAACATAAAGAAAAAAATTTACCAAAATGTGTGTCTGTTGGTCTTGTAAGTGAATTCCAAAATGATGTGGCACATTTTATTCATGGTTCTTTTGCTGAATACTTAGTTGCGACATATTTTTCAAAAAATTTAAATACCGTGCGCGATATACTTGGGGATTTATTGTTCGACGCAAAATACAATAATGTTCGTTTTTTCTTCGACATGTTGTTAGTCAAAAATTGTAAAGCTCACATTGCTGTCCTGTATAAGAAATATGAACAACTTAAAACTTATGATAAAGAAACGTTAACATGTAAAGATAAAGGTGGTAGAAGTGCTTTACATCTGATTTCTTCATGGGGACAAAGACATCCGCGTCTAAAAGTAACGGTTGAAAATGGGAAGTGTATTGTGAATGAAGACAGCAATTTCGATAAACAAGCAGAAACCGAAGCATATTTTGAAACAGTTAAATTTTTGCAGGGCAAGAATAATATTGAAGAACACGATAGTTTGCTAGATACGACACCGTTGTCTTATGCCAGAAAAAGTGAGAGTTTAGGGGCGGAAATAATATTACTTCAAGCAAAAAAAAATGAACCGGATCGTCAGTCAAGTTCCCTTAACGATATAATTAATATTTTATATTATTCTTCTTTACTTGGATACGATCAAGTGTGCGAGCTGTTTACTGTACAAGAAAAAAATACCAGGAAAAATCGCGGGAACGAAACCAAATTTGTTACTGCGGAAAATGCTGAAACACCTCTAATATTAGCGAGCAAGAGTGGCCATTTGAAAATTGTTCAATACTTGGTATGTTTAAATGACGAAACTAATAAACCCAATAAAATTGATGAGAGACCGCTTCACGTTGTGTCCGAAAATATCCACAACGATAATCGTGGTGGTGTTGACAGCTCCTTCGTATGTTTAGTGGAGGCAGGTGCTGACATTAATCAAGGTAATATAAATGGTCAGACACCACTTTTCGTAGCTTCTGAAATGGGCCACGAAAGAGTTGTCGAATACTTGGCGACAGTCGGCGCCGAAATTAATCGCCCTGATAATGACGGTTGGACACCACTTCACATAGCTTCCTTCAACGGTCACGAAAAGGTTGTCGAATACTTGACGACAGTCGGCGCTGAAATCAATCTTGCTGAGAAAGACGGCATGGTAGCACTTCACATAGCTTCCTTCAGCGGTCACGAAAAAGTTGTCGAATACTTGGCGACAGTCGGTGCCGAAATCAATCGTGCTGAGATTGACGGTGTGACACCACTTCACATAGCTTCCTTGAACGGTCACGAAAAAGTTGTCGAATATTTGTCGATATCAGGCGCCGAAATCAATCGCGCTGAGATTAACGGTGCGACACCACTTCACAGAGCTTCCTTGAGAGGTAACGAAAAAGTTGTCGAATACTTGGCGACAGTCGGGGCCGAAATCAATCGCACTATGAATGACGGTGAGACACCGCTTTACATAGGTTCAGAAAATGGTCACGAAAAAGTTGTAGAATACTTGGCGAACGTCGGTGCCGAAATCAATCGCCCTAATAACAACGGTGCGACACCACTTTACATTGCTTCCGAGAAGGGCCACGAAAAAGTTGTCAAATACTTGACGACAGTCGGCGCCGAAATCAATCGCGCTACGAATGACGGTTGGACACCACTTCTCATAGCTTCACACAACGGTTACGAAAGAGTTGTCGAATACTTGGCGACAATCGGCGCTGACATCAATCTCGTTTTGAATGACGGTGCGACACCACTTCATATAGCTTCACAAAAAGGTCACAAAAAAATTGTCGAATACTTGACGACGATCGGCGCTGAAATCAATCGGCCTGACAAAGACGGCTGGACACCACTTCACATAGCTGCACAAAACGGTCACGAAAACGTTGTCGAATACTTGGGGACAGTCGGCGCCGAAATCAATAGCGATAACACTGACGGTGCAACACCACTTTACTTAGCTTCACAAAATGGTCACGAAAAAGTTGTCGAATACTTGACGACGGTCGGCGCTGAAATCAATCGACCTGAGAATGACGGCTGGACACCACTTCACATAGCTTCACAAAACGGTCACGAAAAGATTGTCGAATACTTGACCACAGTCGGCGCCGAAATCAATCGCGCTAAGGATAACGGTGCGACACCACTTTACATAGCTTCAGAAAACGGTCACAAAGAAGTTGTCAAGTACTTGGCGACAGTTGGCGCCGATATCAATCGCGCTACGAATGACGGTGACACTCCACTTCATATAGCTTCACAAAACGGTTACGAAGAAGTTGTCAAATGCTTAGCAAAAGTCGGCGTCGAAGTCAATGGCGCCAAGAATGACGGTGCGACACCACTTTACATAGCTTCACAAAACGGTCACGAAAAAGTTGTCGAATTCTTGACGACAGTCGGTGCCGAAATCAATCGTCCTAGTAAGAACGGTGCGACACCGCTTTATATAGCTTCTGAAAAAGGTCACGAAAAAGTTGTCGAATATCTGACGACAGTCGGCGCTGAAATCAATCGCGCTACGAATGACGGCTGGACACCACTTCTCATAGCTTCCTTCAACGGTCACGAAAAAGTTGTCGAATATCTGACGACAGCCGGCGCCGAAATCAATCGCGCTTATAAAAACGGTGTGACACCAATTTTTATAGCTTCACAAAACGGTCACGAAAAAGTTGTCGAATACTTGACGAGAGTCGACGCCGAAGTCAATCGGGCTACGAATGACGGGTGGACACCACTTCTCATAGCTTCACAAAACGGTCACGAAGAAGTTGTCAAATACTTGGCAACATTCGGCGCCGAAATCAATCGCGCTAACAAAAACGGTGTGACACCACTTTATATAGCTTCCGAAAAAGGCCACGAAAAAATTGTTGAATACTTGGCGACAGTCGGCGCCGCAATCAATCGCGCCAAGGATGACGGTGCGACACCACTTTACATAGCTTCACAAAACGGTCACGAGAAAGTTGTCGGTTACTTGGCGACAGTCGGTGCTGAAATCAATTATTGCACTTATAAAAACGGTGTGACACCACTTTTCATAGCTTCACAAAACGGTTACGAAAGAGTAGTTGAATACTTGGCGACAGTCGGCGCCGAAATCAATCGTCCTAATAAAAATGGTGCCACACCACTTTACATAGCTTCAGAAAAAGGCCACGATAAAGTTGTCGAATCTTTAGTGTCAGTAGCCGCCGAAATCAATCGCGCTACGAATGACGGCTGGACACCACTTCTCATAGCTTCACAAAATGGTCACCAAAAAGTTGTTGAATACTTGGTGACCGTCGGTGCTGAAGTCAATCGTGCTACGAATGAAGGCTGGACACCACTTCTCATAGCTTCACAAAATGGTCACGAAGATGTTGTCGAAAGCTTGGTAACATTCGGCGCTGAATTCAATCGCAGTAAGAATGACGGTGCGACACCACTTTACATAGCTTCACAAAACGGTCGCGAAAAAATTGTCGAATACTTGGCGACAGTCGGTGCTGAAATCAATCGTCCTAATAAAAACGGTGTGACACCATTCCTCATAGCTTCCCTCAAGGGTCACGAAAAAGTTGTCGAATACTTGGCAACAGTCGGCGCCGAAATCAATCGTTCTAATAAAAACGGTGTTACACCACTTTACATAGCTTCACAAAACGGTCACGAGAAAGTTGTCGGTTACTTGGCGACAATCGGCGCCGAAATCAATCGCGCTACGAATGACGGCTGGACTCCACTTCTCATAGCCTCACAAAACGGCCACGAAAAAGTTGTCGAATATTTGACGACAGTCGGGGCCGAAATCAATCATCCTAATAAATACGGTGCGACACCACTTTACATAGCTTCAGAAAAAGGTCACGAGAAAGTTGTCGATTACTTGGCGACAGTTGGCTCTGAAATCAATCACGCTACGAATGACGGCTGGACACCACTTCTCATAGCTTCACAAAACGGTCACGAAAAAGTTGTCGAATACTTGGCGACAGTCGGCGCCGGTATCAATCGCTCTACGAATGACGGCTGGACACCACTTCTCATAGCTTCACAAAACGGTCACGAAAAAGTTGTCGAAAACTTGGTTACAGTCGGCGCCGAAATCAATTGCCCTAGGAATGACGGTGTGACACCACTTTACATAGCTTCACAAAACGGTCACAAAAAAGTTGTCGAATACTTGGCGACAGTCGGCGCCGAAATCAATCGCGCTAACAAAAACGGTGTGACACCACTTTTCAAAGCTTCACAGAACGGTTACGAAAAAGTTGTCGAATTTTTGGCGACAGTCGGCGCCGAAATCAATCGTCCTAATAGCAACGGTGCGACACCACTTTACATAGCCTCACAAAATGGTCACGAAAAAGTTGTCAAATATTTAACGACAGTCGGCGCTGAAATCAATCAAGCTACGAATGACGGTTGGACACCACTCCTCATAGCTTCCTTCAAGGGCCATAAAAATGTTGTCAAATGCTTGGCGACCGTCGGCGCCGAAATCAATCGCCCTAATAAAAACGGTGCGACACCACTTTACATAGCTTCCGAAAATGGCCACAGAACAGTTGTTGAATTCTTGACGACAGTCGGTGCCGAAATTAATCGCGCTAAGAATGACGGTGCGACACCACTCTATATAGTTTCACAAAACGGTCACGAAAAAGTGGTCAAATACTTGGCGACGTTGGGCAGCGAAATCAATCGCTCTAACAATAACGGTTGGACACCACTTTTCATAGCTTCTTTCAACGGTCACAAAAAAGTGGTTGAACACTTAGTGACAGTCGGTGCCGAAATCAATTGCGCTAATAAAAACGATGCGACACCACTTTACATAGCTTCACAAAACGGTCACAAAAAAGTTGTCGAATACTTGACTGCAGTCGGCGCCGAAATTAATCGTCCTAATAAAAACGGTTCGACACCACTTTACATAGCTCTCCAGAACGGCCACGAGAAAGTTGTCGAGGTTTTAAAGAAAGTCGGTGCTTCTACAAACGAGAACTTTTCCAAATAGTTTGGTTGTAGTTGAATGTAGCAAAAAACACCAAAAAGGAATCGTAATTTTATAGATAGAGTAAGGGTTTTCAGGGTACGAATTTTTTTCTTGTACACTGAAGAAATAACCTAACACGTCAAGACATTGACCTAATGATTTCAACAACACCATTCTGGGCTATTTCATGCTATACCACCTATACTTGGTGCCAAAATTCTTTCAAAAAGTCTGAAATGCGGGGAAAATTGGGTAGCTTCGTGACTATCACAGTAGAATTTTGTCAAAATCGTCTACAGTGACCCTAGCAATGCCTATCAGAGGCACAGAGTTGGCTAAAATTTAAACGGCGATTTACTCCAGACCTTGTGATAAACACGTCAAACACAATAACGTGGCGAAAATGATCAAAGGAGCCTTACATACCATGATAAAGTTTTCTTCAATGTACAAGAAAAAACATTTTTTCTTAAAACTACTATACCCATACCATTCAAATTTTAATCAGTTCTTATGTTAAAAAACCTGAGCTCATATATAAAATTTAAGTATTTTATTATCATTTCTTCATGGCGTTCTTTTACTTTTGTTACTCAGTAGGTATATGTGCCGCCTCTCCATTTTGTTAAATACTAAATACATTTTTTGTATATATAGGTAATTATATTTTAAGATGCCTTTAGAAATGTAGTCGCGATATTAAATTTTATCAGTGAATTTTCTAATAAACGCCGTTCTACACGTAAACAGTTATTGTACGAGTAATGTGTCGATTCAGTTGTATTATCCTTAATTTTTAAGTCCAGCACATTATATTTTTTATTCTTCGTTGGAATCTTATTGTATACCTACTTATTACTTGCTTTTATCCGTGTTGGAATGTACAACGTTTTTTCCGAAATCAATCGCAAAAAAAATAATCTACTTTAGATCTTAATTCAATGAAAACGTATCCCCAGCATATAAATATCAGAACAAAGAAAAAATTAGGAAAACAAGCACTTCAACATTCTTTTACATCACCGCATCGCCTCTGCTTTTTCTTTGATATACATGACTTGGAAATTTTTTTCGCAAGGTATTATTGAGTTTGGTCAAAAATGAAAAATTGTTAGTAACAAGTACACACACTATTACGGATAAAATAGGACCTTGAGATGAAACAGAATTGTGTTTTCTCTGTTATTAAGTAAACAAAAAGCAATGCATGAGACCGTTTAGCACATTCCTGAATATTTTCCTAACAATTTTTATGACAATTTAAAGATGCAAAAGGAACAACCAAGAAAGTGAAGAAATAATTTTGGTAAATATGTTCTATATCGTGAAAATAAAATTCAAAAAAAATCTTCCAGCGTCGCCTCATCAGTCACGAATTGTAACAAAAACGGTACAATTATTATAAAATAGAGTACAAGTGAAGCTGTATACATATCTGTAGCGAAGGTAAGAAAAAAATATTCTCGTTATTTTTACTTTGACTTTAGCATTTTAGCGAAGGTGTACACAAGAAAGAAGAAATTATGACATACTTCCAGTCTTCTAGAAAACAACAACTGACTCAAGTGATGTGAATATGGATTTGGACATTAACATTGATCTAGTCTTCTTTATGTCATTTTGTTACGCCGCGTCGTGGTGTAAGTAAAATCTAATAAATAACCATTATGGTTTGTATTTTTACGTTTCTCGTTTCTCTGTAACTTTTTTAATGGATAAAAATTTATTTGTGTTATAAGTGTACCTACAACATAGTCTATATGTCTCAGTGGCAGGCTAAGTGCCAATATAAACAAAACATTTAACAGACTTAAACAATGGCGGACCATCTCCAAGAAGCCAACAATTTTTTTGAACACTTAAAGAAATTCCCCATAGTTATGTTTTTGTTCCTGTAAGAAAGGTTGGTTCATAAAACTTTTTTTTTGTGTTTTAAATAAACTGTACAGAAAACATACTTCATAAACATTACTGTTTCGTATAAAAAAAGAAGTCAGTTTTCTCCCCAAACTCCTGTAGACCAAAGATTTTTTCATAATTTTTGAATTGGTCCCTTTTGATTTAAGTTCCTAGTAGGTATTTAGATATTCAAAGAGTCCATAGGGTTTTCACTTGTGATTTATATCTCCAAGAGGCCACTGATTTATTATGATTATATATATAAATAAACGGGACTGAAAATGTTTTTGACTTTGTATTTCTTCTAAATTATTAAATTCTTGTTTGAAGATAATGACATCATTGGGGGAACATGGTGGAAATTAAACTCCTAAATTATCATTCTCATAATTACATAAATAAATGTGTCTTCTTCTAAAGAACAGTCACTTGTTATTACCAAAAACACAACTCGAGTAAACGGGAATGTTTTAATTTCAAACACACAAATTACTTTTTGAATTAACGTAACGTTCCCAGTATGGTTTTTAAAAAAAAACTCGGTTGTCTGTAAAGTCGGTTTACTGACGATAGTTGAACGTGACAACGTCTTAAGAAAATACTGATGGAATGGTTTTGGGCTTTTGATTTTGAAGCAGCGATTATTGGCTGCGCGAATGGCGTTGCTAAAGTAAATGCTACAGCATCTTGAACCTCCATGGGTTCACTCATTGAAGGTAAAGGCTTATTCGTAACATCCTCTGGTTTGTCAGGCTTTTTTTCCATGGTGCGTTTGTAAGCAGTTCTGCAAAATAAATCGTCGTTCGAAACAATTTAAATAAAATTCTTAAAATATTATCGTTGTCACGTCAAAATTGACACTACATTCACTTTTCACTGCACTTGATACTCGACCAAAACATGTAAATGTACTATAATATAGCAGCTGTCCACGCAGACGCATCGCTCACTCAAGTAGGAGAGAGACGGATGGCGAACGCTGCCGAACGCGAAGGCCGATTGTGCCTCTTTGTCGCTCGTTCCGCGTTCTCGCTTGCACTTCAAGCCTTACATGGAACGTGACAGTAACGGTATGAGTCATGCTTTTTCGAGCGTGCAGCCGGCTCCATCGATTTATAAGACGTTATCACGTCAAAAACATTTGTCTCGTAATCTATGACTATTGTTCTTATATTTTTTTCTAGGACATCAGAAGAGCTCTTCTTAGATCACAAATGAGACCGAACCTGATTATGGTTCGGGAAGATGCATAATTGCGGGCTCACAGCCTTGAATATATATTGGAAAAATTGTATCTATTGCCTTTGTTCTCTGCGAAACTTTTCCTTTTGTTAAGAGAAAAGCCTACACTATTCGAGGAGATCAGCAGACGTGATGAAAGGTTTAAAGAACTGTATTTCTGCAACCTGCCCATGTGAAAGATCAACTGTATCGGGATGGAGGATCCTTATAGTCACCATAAATATGGGAGTTATATGTACGGAACTGGACTATATTTGCTCATTAAAAAAGGAGCACAGTGCTTCATTTCCTACGGGTAAGCTCAGCTTGAACTGTGTTTATGACGTCATAGTTTAAATAATTTTCAGCAAATGGAAACATTATTCTCTTAGGAATGAGCAACAACCGCGGTAAGAAAGACTTCAAAAGATCTTCATGTTTACTTGTACATGCAAAACTTGCACGGAAAACTGGCCGATTTTAACATCCCCACAAATGAACGGGACCTTCAACGAAGAAAATATCATCAAGTTTCAGAAAAACTTACTGACAAACGAGGAATTCCATGTCATACTTCACGCGTTTAATTGAAAGCAATAAGATATCAATAAATTAAAGCAATTGTTTGAAATTGGAATTAATAAAAGTAAATGTGACAAATTCAAAAATATAGCATTAACAAAATCTGGATTCCTTACTTACCTTTTTACAGCACACTCTGCAAAAAACAGATTGAGAATTTTCATTTAACACTAGTTCGGGATACTTTTTTAGCCAGCCGTGGACATTTGCAGAAATTTTGGCATTTTGAACTCGAATTTCAATTGTCAGTACTAAAATAAGGACTGACAACATCAAGAATGAAACGGGTAAATGATAAAATGAGTAATTGCTAGGAGGATGTTACCTGAAGAGTTGAATAAGGGAGAATTAAGATAATTTTAAGCCTGATGCAGCTTATTCAATATACCAATAAACGGAATTCTCCAGTTCCAGATGTCTTAATTAGTGTTTTTTCCAGATAAAGGTTCTATCGAAATGTTTTGGTATTTGCTGGATAAAGTATAATATGAAAATTTTAAGTCCATTGCTTAAAAAAAGAAGTTATATGGTCGAAAACATTTTATCTGTCCAATACAAATAGACGACAAACAAATGACAGACGGTAAAGCGAAAGCTATTTTTTCGTACTCTAGAGGTCATGAAACGTCAAGAAAACACGAAAGTAGCGAACCGTCGGGTAAAACTATCGAAAGTTATCAAGAAATCCCAAAATTTACTGGGAAATAATGTATCATTTATGTAAATGTTATCTGTGTTTGTCTAAAGTTATTTATTTTAACATACCTACTGTATATTTGCTTTTCCATATAAGGTCAGAACAATTTTTATAATCTACAATACCTCAATATTATATAATTGTTTTGTAGACTTTTACTCGCAAGAGTAAAGTCATTAGTAAATATTACTTAGTACCAAATAATACTCAATTTATGTACCTATTATAGACTCTGCGTTCTACTTTTTCGTTTATTAATAGCTATTTTTGAACAGCACACAAGTATCTTAAAATGTATTTTTTAAACATGATAATGATAGTAAACATAAAATCACGGCTCATTTTGTTTGCTCGTGGTCATATACGTATTAGAACAGTGTTATCAGTAAATTTTATAAAATACACATAAGAATAATGCGCAATTTTTCTTATGTTGATAAAGTACACGAAACCATAAAATAGGTAGGTACCTAATCTTAAATAGTATCTTAAATTAAATAGCCTCTAACATTTAATAAAAATAACACCCGATACTTACGGAATATTTGCTATACGTTATCGAAAATAGCAAAAAAAAATAAAAATAAATAATAGTTTAAAAAACTAAAAAAACACGCTTTTATTGCTAATCGAACTAAAAACTAGAAAATAATTTTTAATGACAGAGTTTAATATTACAGTAGTAGAAGATCAAACAATCAATCATAATAAATCACCTCAAATTAAAATTATAATAAAATTTAAGTTATTAACAGAATAATTCAATTCAGAGTAAAAAGCGTGGGGTGCTTGATATTTTAAATATTACAATCATTCTATTGGCAACTATCTATGAGAGGATAGTTATGAACCGCAGTAAAATGCACCCCACGCTTTTTACTCTGAATTGAATTATTCTGTTAATAACTTAAATTTTATTATAATTTTAATTTGAGGTGATTTATTATGATTGATTGTTTGATCTTCTACTACTGTAATATTAAACTCTGTCATTAAAAATTATTTTCTAGTTTTTAGTTCGATTAGCAATAAAAGCGTGTTTTTTTAGTTTTTTAAACTATTATTTATTTTTC